AGGCAGCTTCGGTCCAGCCGCGGAGAAATCAGTGAATGAGACTGAGTCGGGCTGAACTCTTACCCCCACCCCTCGCCTGTCACCCAAGCCTCCCTCTCCAGACACAGGCGCACAGAGACGCGCCCGGAGCGGAGCAGCAGAGGGCGCAGGCGCGCGGGCGGCCGCCCAGCCCGGGCCCGGAGGCAGCGGGCCACCCGCCGCCCTTCACCCGCCCGGCCAGGACGGGAGGCGGAGGAGCGCTGAAGCCCTGAGGGGGCAGGTCTCCAAAAAAGTGAGCTCTGAGCCAGGGAGCCCATTCTGAATAAAGAAATTATTTCTGTCCGTTTGCTCCGTGTCGTGGGCACCCACAATGTCTAGGGACCAGAGTAGGTTGTGGGGACCAAAGATGAACAGGACAGGATCCCTGGAGTGAGGAAACCTCTGTATTGTGGAAGAAATACCCCCTAAGTAGCCTAAAACAACGAGGCGAGCTCCTTACAGGATGCCACCGAAGAACCTAATATCCATTCACTTAACTCCGCCATCATTTCCAGGCAGAAGGAAAGGCGTGTGCAACAGCATGGGGCATGGCGCTACAAGTTAATAGGTAGAGGAGTTGCAGGGAGATCGCAGGGATGGGGCCGAGGAAGGACCGCAAGGGTTGCAGCGTGGAGAAGGTCAGCAAGGGCTTCACGGCTTGTGAACTGTCTGCTGTGAAGGGCCAGTGATGCTCTGAGTCGCTCACCAGAAAGGTGTTCTGGCAGTGGTGGGTGAATCGAGGCCACGTTGAGGGCACTGAGACAAGTTAGGAAGCAATCTCTAGACAAAATGGGATGAGGTGGTGACAAGGACATGGAGAGGAGGAACTGATTAACTATACAGTGAGAAGGTGGAAGTGGCCATACCTGGAAGTCAATGTAATCTGGAAGATGAGAAAACGGTCCAATGTAAGATGTCTCTCAAGTTTCATACGGGACTGACTGGGTAGATGACATCCAACCAAAACACAGGAGGAGACGTGTGCTCTTGAGGGAAAGATGGTTCTCCTTTCAGACGCATTGATTTCGCCAGGCAGGTATACATGTCCCATAAGCCATTTTGATATATGATACACAGGGAGTTTGGACTGGAGACGTGAATTAACAGTCATCAGCCCAAAGGTGACAATCAGGTGAATAAGGAAGACCAGGCAGACTGCAGAGAGGAAGGCTAAGGACAGGGCCCTGTCTAAGACCACAGTCTAAGAGACGGAGAGGGAAAAAGCTGAGGAGGGAGATTAGAACCAGTGGAGGTGGGTGAAGAATCAGAGAAGTCACAGAAGCCATAGCAGCAGAAAATTCTTAAGAAGGGAGTTATTAGATGCATGGAAACCTGAAGAGAAGTCAGATAGGTTAACTGAGAAGAGTCCATTCACTGTAGCAAGCAGGAGGACACTTACTTCAAGCTGAGCTTCAAGAGAGGGAGATGGTGATCTAAAGAAGGAAGGGGATTGTCCTTCTACAACTGCCACGACTATGCTCGCCATTCCTGCCATGCCAGAGCCACTTCACTGACCCTTGGCCGTTTCCAATGAGAATACTGTCTCCACTTTACAGACCTGATGAGTAAGGTGCAGAGAGATTAAGTAACTCGGTGAGGGCGCACAGCTGGCCTGTGGAACCCATGTGTTCCTAAAGCCCATCCTCTTAACCCTGACTGGAAGATCTCTCATAATTGTACAGCAGCTTGACTTTTCGGTGCACCTTGCATCTGTTAATTATCTTACTTTAGTCCAATAACTACCATTCACAGCCAATCCTTGGAGAACAAAATAGGCCAGCTGACACCAAAGAGCAGTTAGTGTGTGCTTGATGCCCATGATGAGGCAACACTGATCTTCTTTCTGGTAGCTTCCAGACTGACCAAACAAACGGGGCAAAGATACTCCTTTCCTCATCCCCTGCCACTATGCCCTCCTCCTGAGATCTCCATCAAGCCCACTGTTTCTTTTCCACAAACAAGCAGTATGACTCCAGCTCCACCCCGGCCCAAATTGTAGTCTCCTACTGCTGGTAATGTAGGCAAAAGCGTGCATCACTTCTTGCACCTAAATACTCCTCGGAGCTTAGTCTGGATCCAAACAGAATCGATCTGCCTCCTATTACATCCTTCTAAGCTCTTTGGCCCATTCCCTCATTTCAGCCCCAGCCCCAGACGTCAGTTTTTCTCCAGCAAATTCAATCTGTTGCATTAGGTGCCAACAGACGGCTTCCCTGCTGAAAGTCAAATAATCATGTCCCTGGAACATGCTGTGTTTATTCATGGTCCATTACTGTAGTTAAACTAGCAACAACTCTAAGAACCTATAGATTTTTTTTTATTGCCCCTCATAGAAAGATCATGATTTACAGACAGAATCGAAAAAGGCCCAATTAGCTACCCATACCGGAAACAAGAAGAAAACATTTAGCAAGAGACACTTCTTTTGCTTTCTCTTCCATAGTTAAGTGTGACCTTGGAAAAGGCCAGGCGTGTCTCCATCAGCCCTAATTGTCAGATTCATAGAAAGAAATGGATTCACATCATGGGATTCTGCTACAGCCGTGGCTTATTTCACACAATATAAGTGAGTACAGCTGCCTAAACCAGAATATGTACCTTGTTAGGTATATTGGGATAAACTCTCTTCGAATTTCCAGGTTGCTAATGCTTCTTCTAAGTCATTAATCAGTGTAACTTACACATAAATTGCTCCTTTCCCAGCCTTCATATAATAAGAAGGTAGCCTTTGGAATCACCTACTGCATTCCATGGGCTTAAAATCTGGCTGCTCTGGAGAATGGAACAAGGAAAGTGAGAGGGAACTTGTTCTTCACTCTCTTCTCTCCTTCCTGAAAAAAGGCTCACTTCAGAAGTCTCCCAGACACGTGAAGAACTGGATTTTGGTGCAGAATATTTTCTGGGCTTAAAATATAATTCACAGTTGCTATAACTGAATTAGACACCGGTTGCTTCAGAGGGGACAAATTGTATGTTTAAGTTAACTTTTTTTTTCAATATTGAAACACAGCTTTATTCACAGACCCTAAAGAGGTATCGAGAGTATTAGCCTCTGTGACATATTTAAATTACATCTCTATTCTTAGTTCCAAAAAGGAATTTGTTTTGTTTTTATTTGTTTTTGTGAGAGAGGGGGGAGAGAGAGAGAGAAAGCACAAGTAGGGGAGTAGCAGGGAGAGACAGGGAGACACAGAATCCAAAGCAGGCTCCAGGCTCTGAGCTGTCAGCACAGAGCAGGACAAGGGGCTCGAACTCACTAACTGTGAGATCATGACCTGAGGCAAAGTCAGACGCTTAACCCCCTGAGCCACCCAGGTGCCCCCAAAAAGTAATTTATGATATAACTGATTTCCTCAAATTGTTTTTATTTTTTTTAAC